GATTGGGTTGGTCACTAGCTTTCTTGGGAAAGAGGGGGGTCACTGGGTTTTGAAAAACTTGGAAAGATAATGAATTAATGGGTAAAGAAAGGGATCGAAATTTATTTGACGTAAATAGACAAAGCAGATAAGTAAAGGATAGCTATACAAAAGAAAGCCAGATATTAACAAAAAGACAAAGTAGTCAGCAAATGTTGACCAAATAGTAACCAATTTTGACCAAGCAATTTCTTACAAAGATTAATTACGTAGATGGGAAAAGGTGGCAATTTACAAAATGTTGACTTTTAGCTAGAAGAAATTTAGACAAGAAGATTTCTACTGCAATCTTAACAAACAGATATGAAGGAAAACTATAAGATTCATTCAAATTAATGCAAAGTTGATTTTTAACACCAAACAGGTAGACTTACGTGAAAACAGATAGACTATGGTTAACAGATAAATTGTAAGACAAACTAGACAATGAAGATATAGTTGTCTTTGGCAAAGAGTTTCGTCTGTAAACTAGGATTTGTCCACTTTCTATACCACATACCCATATGTAAATGAAAAAGCTCTGATACCATTTTATTTTCGATCCCAATATATATATATATATATGGAAAATAGGCAATGGAATTCAAATTGATAGTTTAAACCCATCAAACGGATAATCACAAGGAACCCAAACACTTATAAGGCCAACTCTTATCCAAATGTAGCCCAAAAGCTATACAAATTCTATTTCAAGACTGACCATAGTCCATCCACTAACTATTTCCTCCATGTGGCAGAACTTGGTTGCATTTGATCTTATCCCATGGTGTTTCATGCAACTTATCAACGCCTTTTACCTGGTTGCGCTTTCATCTGCTCACAACATGGCGAAATGACAGTCAAGCAACTTCTATCATGGACACGGAGCACCATCAGGCTTGTACTAATAAAGAAGACAACAAGCTTAATGATACGTGGACAACTTATTTATACAGTAGTCACTCTTTGTGGGTTCTAATAAGAGGAACTTGAGCTAGGGAACACCGCCATTGATAGTGCATCACGATACCATTGAAAAAGTGAGAAAAAGTGAGTAAAAATATGAATGCAAATTTTATGAGATAGTAGACATGTGAGTTGATGTAAAAAGAAAAAAGTGGGAAGAAAATGAGTTAAAATCTCTTTGTTACCCACTATTCCACCAATTAGGCTTTTGTTAAAAACAAAAGTTGGAGAAAAAACCATGATCATTGTCCAAGGTTTAGTGCTCATCGAGGGGAATGGGATTCAAACCCAATAACTATAAGGATACTCAACTTGAATTCTGAAAATTCGGTTTCGAATGAAAAAAAAAAAAAAAAATCATAGAGAAGTCGTTGTTGAAAGATATATCAATATTTAATGAAAAAAATTTCCAATTCCATTTCTAAGCTGAGAATGCATCTATTCTATAATAAATTAAGGGTTGAGTTATATATTCTTAATGAAATTTATAGCTTAATGAGTGAAGTATCTTAGTTATGGAAGCACTCTTAACAAATTTCACTTATATAGGTGTCGAAGTGAGTCTACTTCTATAAAAATTGATGGACAATTTTCTAAATCACCTATGAAAACCAAGATCATGCACAAGGAAATAATGCACCAACTGTATAAAAAACTCAACATTCGGATCATTATATGTGTGATATAATTATTTTATCTTCCAATGGAGTTATAGTTTAAGAATTAATTCTATTAACTTAATTCACTATTGACTTTGAATTAAAAATTGTTGACTCATTAAGTAAAGATTCAAGACCTAACTACCTTTATCATCTATAATAATCCATCTTTGCCCAAAAGAAAGGTTCATTTTTTATTGAAATAGTGGGGAAATTGTTGAAATTTAAATATTTTAATAAAAAAATAAAATAATATATTTTGAAATATATATATATATATATATATAT